AAGCAGAGTACATGGCCTTGACAGAAGCTGCGAAGGAGGGAATTTGGTTAAAAGGGTTGGTTAGTGATCTTGGTCTGCATCATGATAAGGCTACAGTGTACTGTGACAGTTTGAGTGCGATTTGTTTAGCCAAGGATCAAGTTCATCATGAGAGAACCAAGCATATTGACGTGAGATATCATTTCTTAAGGAGTGAGAGGAGAATCCAAGTGAAGAAAGTAGGAACTGCTGATAATCCTGCTGATATGTTCACAAAGCCGGTTCCGCAAAGCAAGTTTCAACACTGTTTGGACTTGCTTAACATCAGAAGTTTTTAGTAGCCCTGCGGGGCAACTTTGAGGAAGAGGGGGAGGCCGGGCACAATCAAAGTGCGTCTGAATCTGAAGGATCTGTATGGAGAATTCAAGTCAAGGTGGAGATTTGTTGTAATGCCTTGAATCTGACTCGTTACAACATCCGGAGAAGTCCAACTTCTGAGAAATCCGAATTCCGGAGAAGTCGAGAAATCCGAATTCCGGAGAAGTCGAGAAATCCGATTTCCGGAGAAGTCAAGAAATCCGAATTCTGAGAGGTCCGAATTCTGAGGTGTCCGAACCCCATTCTATTTGGGCTTGTTTAATTATCTGTTAATTCTGTATTTTTGGGTCTAAGTCTGTTAGGGTTTCGCCAAGCACTATTTATATGGGTGCTACCACAAACCCTAGTAGTTGTACTCTGTTCTTGCCTCTCCAATCAGAAATAAAACTGCTCCCCCTCTTCCCCGTGGACTAGCCAACACAACGTTGTGAACCACGTTAAATCTGTTGTCGTGCTTTCTCGTTTATATATTTTTTCTTATTCTCGAATTCTGCACAACAAAGGACTTCCCCGAAACGTTCATCGACGTGGTCCGGCACGCTGACGTGTCGGCCACGTCATGGGCGTCACTCATGTTCCGGTACCCGTGGGATGTTATTTTTGGGAAACTCAACACCGAGAACGTCACGGTGCTGGGAGACGCCATGCACCCGACAACGCCGGACCTCGGGCAAGGCGGGGGCATGGCCCTCGAGGACGCCGTCGTTCTTGGCCGCCACATTGGAAATGTGACTGGCCCTGATGGGACGCTTACGCCGGAAGGCGTAAGTCGGGCCCTAACGAATTACGTGGAAGAGTGGAGGTGGAGGGCCGCTTGGGTTATTGCAGCATCGTTCGTGTCAGGGTGGGTCCAGCAAGACGGGTCGGGATGGTTCATGAAGTTTCTTAGGGGAGTGTTTTACAAGACTATCATGCCTAAAATTTTCAGTATTGCTGATTATGATTGTGGGAAGTTGCCTAGCAAGAATGAAAGCTTTCATTGATCATCACTTTCCGGTTAAACATAGTTAATAAAATAAACAAAACATACTACCTCCGTCCTAGTATGTATATTTTTCTAGCTTGATTTTTTTGTGTTAAACTAAATAAATTTTGAGCTTTAATTAATCACAAAAATTCTCAACAAGATAAATCTAATAAAGTCATTTTTATTGAAATATTCATTACGGTTTTATACAAATGAAGTTCAAAGTTTATTAAATTTGATTCAAAAAATAAAACTAAACAAATATCCTAGAATGGAGAGAGTAGTTATGATTACACTTATCTCATTTTTTGTTTGGATCAACTGTTGTAAGGAGTAATTCTTTATTTATTATTTTTTGCCTGTTTATGTGAATTTAGATTGATCCAAGATTTTATTCATTTTTTAAATGTAGTTGAATTCTTGCATTATTATAGTTTTATTATGTATAAGTTTTCAAGTTTGTATTTGGCAACAACTTTAGCATTTGGATTTAACATTTTTAAAAATTTTGTCTGATAACAATATTTAATTAACGTTATAAGATTATTGTACGTCATTGAAAACATCCTTACATAAGACTTTATTTTTTAAATGACCAAATTGTATACCCAAGGCCTACAATCCGAATGCCAGAACACCAAATAAAGAGGGAATTTTTCTTTCCTTTCCATTTAAATAGTATGTTTATGATATTTGACGAATTTATTTTTTAATTAGTATATATTTACAAATTAGTATGATATTTAAAAATAAATAACTTCCTCCATCCCTAATTGGATTACAATTTTTTGGGACATATCTCTAGATAACTTTTGTATATTTGTGTATTTTTTTATTTGATAAAATAAAATATTTTTATCACTAGACATATATGATTTTAAAAAGTAAGTTAGAATAATAGTGAATGTAAACTACACAAATAGCACTAAATTTTGAGATAATAATACTATAAACTAAAGAAATACTTCCTCCGTTTCGTAAAACAATTTCAATTTCGTTTTTACGTGCAAAACCTCATGTTTCTTTAAATGATTTTATCAACAAATTCGTATTGAAATAAAAAGTAAAAGTGACATATTTAGAAACTACATGAAAAATTCAACAAAATAAGTGATGACAAGAATATTTTATTTTGTCAAATGGCTAATGAACAAACACACGCAAACAAAAGTTATCGTGATGTCTTGAATAGTAAATATGAATGTTTTAAAAAACTGATGAAGCATAAAAATATTGAGTAGTGAAAAAAGAGGAAATTATTACCGTATTTATTTCATCAATTTTGTATGATTTTAGTTATTTTTTTTATTTTTGTTGTTTTTTTTATATCTATTTTTTAATTTTTATTTTTCATATCTATTTTAAATTTTTTCTAAGGCAAGATAAATGATGGGGGTTGAAAGACATTTTAAAAAATATGAATTTTTTTAAAATAAAACACTAAAATTCATAAAAAATAATCTCAAATTTCATTTTGTTGTGCAAAACAAACTATTTCTGTAAACCCACCATTAGTAACATTACGGCTATCCAAAATTTATAAATTTTAATAAAATTGGAATTATTATGCATCAAATGAAATGTGAGAGTATTTATGGAAAATCTAAATTAAGAGTAAAACATTTAGGGGGCGTTTGGTTCATGCTGAGGAAATGGAAAGGAAACAGGAAAGGGAATCAGGGGGAATCTGAATGATTACCCTGAATTACTCTGTCTGTTTGGTTCGGTATAGGAAAGGAAATAGAATTCCCTTATTCGTGTTTGGTTCAAAACAGAGGAATCAATTTTTTTACACAACTATGATTAATCCTTTACTATAATATTTGAGACTCGTCGCACAGAATTTCGACATGTGGCGGGTCTACTTAGCATTTTTTTAACAAGTCATCTGCCACATATTTAATCTTGCGATTTTTTTCCAAAACATGCCTTTGTGGGGGTTTAAACCCAAAACCTCCTAGACATTTAGTTGAGTTTCTAACCATCCAAGCAAGGGTGATTTTTGTTACAAGTTCAGTAACCCTTTATGATATTTCATAATTAAAAAAAGATTGTATAAAAATTCCTTTTCAATTTTAAAAATATAATCTTTATATATAAAATTTAAGAGTTGAGCTTCTAGAATTGTGACATGTGCGCGTTTATTAGACAATTTTTTTAACATGTCAGAATGTCATGTCATCAAATTATATTTAAAGAATTAGTTAACAAAAAAAAACTTATTCAATGGAAATTAAATTTTGTATTTGTTACACACAAATTTCTCAGTATAATCGTGTTTAAAAACTTTTATATCTTAATTCATTGTTGGAAAATATTTAAATTAAATAATATATTTTGAAATTAAAAAAAGAACTCATATTCAAAAACAATAATCAAAATAAATAAATTTATTCTAAGAATCGATAGATTGGTTGGACTAAAAGAAATTACATATAAATATTTTTTTACTTTGAATTAATACTAATTAGAGAGATATTCCAACTTTGAAAAAAGAGAAACAAATATATAAAAGAAAAAGGATTTTTATGGGCATGTTTATTTCATAGAGTAATAATTTTATATCACATATATTAAAAAAATTCTAAGTCAAATAACAAGTATGTTCCATTTTAAAATTAGTATTTTCCATTTTTAAATTATTATTTTCTATTACTAACTTTGTAAAAATTTCTAGATATGTTCCAAAAAATTACTATTTTTCATTAATAAATTTTAAAATGATGATGACTTAGTATGTGAGTATTTATGTGTAAGAAATTAATTATTAACTGGTGTTCCTAATCGAAATATTTATGGTATAATATGAACTATTATAAGTGTAATTAGTATTAATCAAAATTCTTGAAAATAAAAAAACATGCCTATTTTGACATTTATGTCAAAAGAAAATAAATAAGTAATATTCATGGCTGTCTCTGAGAAATGAGGGGCCCTATGCAACAGGTAGAAAATGGGCCATTGTGTTATAAGAAAATAAAGTCTATTCATTAATTTATTTAACAATAATTAACATTATATTAATAAGAATAATATCTAGACCCTACTATAGTAAATTCAACTGGGTTGTTGTTGTATATTAATAAGAATAATGAAATATCGAATTCATATTCTTCAAAGTCAAAGGAAACTTCATTGCTTTGATTTTGGTCCGTAAGAGGCAATTGAGAGGTTTGGGAATTTTTTTTACCGTAGATCTATTTTTTACAGAGTAAATTTTAATCCTCCTTCCCAGGCAGTGTTCAGTGGGATTAGGTTCTATTTTGGTAGGTAGTAAAGCAAACATGTACATATGTATTGCTTTTGCAGTACATATGATGGTTATTACACATACAGAAAGAGAGAGGTCGTCATCGGCTATAACCTTGCATCATCAAACACGTTCGAGAAAGAATGTACTCTATGATGTGACAAATGGTATTTTTATTATTCTGAATTAAATATTTAATTTTTCCAGTAATTTTTTCACAAAAAAAATCTATACAGTGCTCCGATCCGGGAATAATTACATAATTCATCATGCTTTTAAGTGCATAAGAGACACATGGATCTATCTTCTATAACACATGTTTTAATTTCTTTGAAGATGATAATAAAACAATTATCTTTGTGTATTAACTAACTCTATGTATAAGATATTATAAACAATGTAAGAAAGTATTACGTAAATTAATATGGTGGATGCACTCGAGGTTGAATTTTCATCTCCCATGGCTAAAATTTGTAACATTTAGAGATCAAAAAAAGCTAAAAGATATTGTCAAAGAAAATGTTGACAAAGCTTCAATGTTTGAAGCTTGGATGATTTCCAATACACAATATAATGCAGGATAAAATTTGATGTATGCAAAGAATTTCCCGATTTTTTTGTGTACAATCATAAATTAAAGTGCGGAAATGGTTTCGATGTAACAAAGGTCATCAATAGGCAGACTACAATACGTGCTTACGAAAACCAGAGAGTTGTACTATTAACTATTCAGCGAGGATCTACAAGCTATTAGAGCTTGATGAGAGTTAACAATGTTCTACATAGCGCATTTGAGGTAGCATGTGAAGCATTAAGGTTATTAATCGATGATAAAGAACTTATTGAAGGTATAAAAGAGCTAGGTTGCTAAGTTAGGATTTAGGAATATGCTAAAATGTTGTTTGTCCACGTACCATGAGTCACCCATAAATTGTTTTGAAAAAATTATAGGAACTCTTGGTGAATGGAATTTTATTTGATCGAATGAGAATATTTTGGAATCAAGGTACTTGAATATAAAAATTGTTTTTAATGTATTAATCCATCTGAAACACATTATATGAAAACAAAACTCTTAAATTGAGCACTGCATAGAAACAAATAATTCTTTTTTTGCAGAGCTTATAATCTCATGAGAAGACCTAAAGAATTTATGTCTAATTGAGATTGAAAAGTTGTTTAATTGAAATGGACGACCGTTAAAGGAATTCAAGTGCATGCCATTTGGAGATGACAATCAACTTAATAGATATCAAAATAGTTTTTTAATAGAGAAGTTGAACTATGACTAAGAAAAGTTGTCATTTGATCTTAGAAGATATTTATCTACGATGAATGAAGATCAGTGGAATATATCTAATGAAATAATGGAAGTTGTAATAGCTGAAAGAGGGAGTTCTTTTTTGTCCATGGTTACGGTGGAATAAGAAAAATATTTTACTAGAAGTCATTGTCTGCACTCTCTTACACAGATGTATTGTAGTTGTATTGTAAAATTTATACGTTGATCAAAAATATGAGATTTCATTAATCTGCACTCTCTTACACAGACAAGGACACATAAGCTTTTTCTGATTGGATATCAAAGTCAAATTAAAGATGGAAAACTTAGACAAGTGATCGATGGAACTGCTAACATTGAAATTAAATCCTTCTGCATTCTTGATTCTTGAAATAAGTTATCCCCTCAAGAGTTATAGTGGACTTCACTTATCCGAACCTATTAGAGAACATGAATTTTTTAGGATAGTGCACTATTAGCACCCACACTCAAGTTTGTTGAATGGTAATGAATTTTTCATATCCCTTATGCAAAGCCGATTTAAATGTAGCTGTTGAAGACAATTGGATAACACTTTAGTTTTTTTTATTAAATCAAATATTCGGGGATCATAAACCACAAAATAGTTTTTAAAAAGGGGGTATTGACTATATCATTGAAGAACATTGACTAAATATCTGGATTGTGTAATGATAGAAGATTAATCGTTTAGAAGTTGAGAAAAAACATTATCACTGCAATTGAGGTTTCTTGAAATCAATTGAGAAAAAGATTTTCATACCCCTAATGAATTTGGTATCATCTGATTCAAGACTACCTAAGAAAATCTAGAGAAAATAATTCTCAATAGTTTTATATTTTACTATGACTATTAACAAAAGTTAAGGTCAAACATTGTCTTTTGTTGTATTATTTTTAACCAATTTAGTATTTAGTAATGGTTAGCTTTATGTTACTTTTTCACGAATGAATGCAAAGACATGATTAAAAATATTGGTTCTAGATAACAATGGAAACCTTTACAACCATACCAAAAACGTTGTGCACCCTAAAGTCTTTCAAAAAAATTGGAATTAAATAAGTTTTTTTTGGGGTACACTTTCATTTCCTCAAATATGATTTATTCTACTGTTGTCGTTGTTGTGCATTGATTAAAAATCATGTTAGAAATATATTTACTTGATTTCGGAGAATATATTACATTGAAAAAAATCAAAATCGACAAAAATTTTGTTTAACCCCGTGCGTCGCACGGGTCAAAATACTAGTTTGTTAAAAATAATACTTATTAATGTTAACAAACATACAATTAAACAAAATTCACACCTCACAAAAAAATTGTAAAAAAAATTTGTAACAAATCTGTAAAAGAAATTTTTAAAAAGTCTGTAAAAAAAATTTGAATTCTAAAAAATATGTTAAAAAATTTGTAAAAAAACTTTGAAAAAATTGTAAACAATTTGTAAAACAAACACATAAAGAAACGCAGGGAGGGGGGTTGAA